AAAAATAGTTGTTAAATAATAGTGAAGTCACGTTGTAATAACAATAACTCATCTCTCTCGGTTTTTTTTTGTTTTCTTTGTGTGCTTTGCCAAAAGCCACTGTGTCAAGTGTCCTAGTTGGGTTACCGTAACGAACAGCAGCCGGCTCTCGATTTTTAATCCTAATTTAATCGTTTATGTTCGCCGAATTGACATGAAATCACTGACAAATATGAATATACTGTATTCAACTTCATTAAAATGTTATTAACGTGCCTAAACTCAGTAATTCACTAAAAATTACTGATCCCTCCGCGTCGCGGAGGGATCTTGATCCCTGGGTGTTATTTTTCCCCATAATGACCAAGTCGCTGCAAATTATCCCGCTTATTACATGGCCACATTCTCAACAAAGTAACGACATGACTCCCAATATTAATTAAAATGCTTTTATGGATTTAGAAAATATTTTTATTGATTTAAAACATAGTTCTATGTATTGATTTAAATTTACATGCATCCGCTAAGAAAAATAATCCGTTGTTACCGTTTTTTAAACAGTCAGAATGAAACGGCAGCTCTCAGCTGTGTGTTCACACTCCTAACTCTGATCTTTCTTTTCCAACAGTTAAGTTAACTGTAGGTTACTCTGAGTGACAAGCTTACAGTTAGTGAAGTAACACTTTTTTTTTGTGAGTCACGACCTCGCTGTTTCATTCTAACATAACGCTCCAAATATGACTGTTTCCACTCGGACTTCAATACAGCAACACCATTGTTTGGTTTCCATGGTAGCGTGTCTCTTTAGTAGCGTGCACTCCTTTCCTGTAAATTACAGGTCCAGCCAGGCAAAACAGTAATATGAAATATGAACGTTAGTTTTTAACTGAAATGATCAAATAAAGTCAAAATGTCACAGTGTTTACAAACATTGACCATACCGTTCACCAGCCCCCACCCCACTCTTTGTTTAAAACGAATTGGCCATCGGAATGTGTGTGTCCCAACCCCCCCCTGTGATATCTCTTCACAGGGGGGAGAGAGTTAGACGCTCGTGAATTGTCAACGGGGGGGGGCCTCTCTGCATGGAGGAGCCGCGGAGAAGTGAATCACAGTGATCTGCTATTTTAAAGTAAATTCAACACATATCGACCCTAAATATAGCATATATTAAGAACGAGAAAGTGTTAACATCGTTTTTTGTAAACATATGACCAATGTGCGAGGGTGATGACATCAGAGCATCGTCCTATGGGCTTAGCCCCGGACAGGTACAACAGGTATTCACTCAGAGGGGGGTAGTTACTCATTTACATGTCAAAAAGCAACATACAGTAGGCGGGTGGGGGATGGTGAACGTTTACATTTCTCTACAGCAGTGGTTCCCAAACTTTTTGTGCCCAAGGCACACCAAAGGACAAGTAAAAATCTCAAGGCACACCTATTGTGCGAAATAGCCCTTATAACACGTGTTATCACTCATATCATGTAAAATATCTGTAAATGTGCATAATTATTTACTAATGCCAAATAAAATGTATAGATAGAACAATCAGTGGTTCAAGTTAGTATATTCCTCAGTGTAACATATCCACTAGTTGCAAAGCTTAAACATTTTTATATATTTTTTTATTTTAAGGGAAAGGATGTTTTCACTACTCAGTTTGTCAACTATGTTACGGACAAACTTGATGTCATTACAATCATTTGATTAAGTCCTGCACTTCAAGTAAAATCAAATTTGAAAGGCTCTTGAGTCTATTCTACCATATATCCAAAGATTTTTTAAAGTTTAAAAAATAATTGTATTCAAGTTTTGTTTTTTCATGTGATATGTTCAGCACTGTCATTAAGTTTAGGGATATTTTGTATTATAAAACTACCATACAGGTCATTTTGATAGTTTTAAGAGATGTCATGTAAAACTCCAACCTGTGTAGATATACATTATACTATAAAGGATATCAGAAGCACTATTTTAGATATTTTAAATTTGAAAAAATGAGGTGCAACATAGTTGACAATGAAAGTCAAACATTTGACGCAAATAACATAGTTGACTGGACACATTATTAACCATCAGCACTATGTTAATTTCAAGGCAGAAGTGCAAAATTCCATTGATAATGATGTGTAATGACGTCTACATGTCGTACAAATTGTCAACTAGGTTACCTGTCAACTAAGTTACTACAGTTATTACAGTACTGGGTAACTCAGTTGACAGGTAACCTAGTTGACAATTTCCCTATTTTGACCCATCATTTCAATGGTAGGCCTTGCCTGGATGACCACATGTCATTTTCTTGAACAGGTTAACATCACATTTGCACATATAATTGAATTAAAATCATTAAACAATTGTAAACCATAACAATGTACGTAACATTGTTGATTGTCAATGAGTATATTAATTGACCATGTGCTATTATACATAAAATATTGTAAAAATGTAGAGGACAATCACCACAGTGTGTTCAAAATGTCTGCCAAAGAGGAACATGGCATCATGTGATGCTGGTGACATGGTATTGGGACAAACAATTTTTGAGTTAAAGGGGGAAGTTCTGTTAGTAACATAGTTGACAGAACTTTTGCGGACATTCATATATTAAGATATTTAAATTATTTAAAGGGGGAAATCAATTAAAAATATGTTATTATTCTTTAGTATTTAGACTTTTGAAATAAATGAATCATTATTTAAATTGACTTTAATGGTTTTTATTCATTATTTTGAATCCAAGACACCCTCAACTGAAAAACGGACATAGCAAAAACTGACAATTTAAGAACATCATGACACATTTCAAGCTAAATAAAGCATAGGATGCACATAATGTTTGTGTGATATTATAACATGCTTTCCAATAATAGGCAAAATATGATATTTTTGAAGAAAATAGTTAGAATAATTATAATTATCATCAATGGACATCAATGGACATGGAATGTACCCTAAATTGTAGAATCACTCAGCAGTTACATACACCAAACCTTCCAGTTATATTCCTATCAATATTATGAAGGCTTTTACAGAAGGGTTTGGTCATATATAATTCATAGCCTGAATTATATAACATTTTATACCTAAAAACATGGTGAAAATTGATATTTTAGGGCTGTTGACAGTATTTTCTGATTTATGGAGTGATACAAAGAGATATCCAAAATCCCTTCTGTAAAAGCCTTAGATACTAATATGACTACAAAATGAAACAATAATTTTGATCCTGGCTTTATCCAAAGTTCAGATTTTGGTTCCTGAAATGTGTTAAAATATGCGCATATTTCATGAGATAATGGTTCATTTGGATATTTAAACATGCTATTTCAGAAAACTTGTAATACAAAAAACAATTGCCTTATTGTAAGTAATTAACTGGAGAAATATTTAGCTGATATCTTTAAGTTAAAAATACCCTATTCACCTGGGGTGTCTCGCCTTAATTAGATGTTTGATAAGTGCAGATCACATAGTAAAACACGTACACAGATACATTATTTTGTATTTTTATTAAATTCGACAATGTCAATTTCACTTTCCACTATGTCCACCGTTGTTTTTCACAACCAATGGCAGAACTTTATTGAGGCCTGTAATTAGTCAACTACAGGTCTCTTGAGTCAGTCTTTTTCTTACAAAAAGCTTGTGACAAGATGTTATTGCTCTTGGGGCATTAAAAACAAGATTTTAACTTTAGTTTTTTATATAATATCTGCATTTTCTATTGTGAAAAACTAAGTCTTAGTTATTTAATATATAGCGCCATCTCCTGGTTAAACCCTGAAATTGGAGAATAGTGGGAGGGCCTAACATTCCTGAATACTGGTCTTTGGCAGGCAACTGGCTGGCAACTGGCTGGCAGTCGGCAGGAAGCTGTATGCTGGGGTCCAAAATAAGAGGCTCCATCTGTAGGTATGGCCCTACAATATATTATTCAAATATAGCATGATAGGTCCACTTTAACATTCATTGGATTGCACACTTAGTTTGTTTGTGTGGATATGTAGCAAATTAACATTTTAAATAGCACTTAATGACTGACTGAATGGAAATGACAATAAATGAAAATGTAAAACGAAAAAGCGATCATGAAAATGTTTCCAATAAATAAATAAAATAATTTTTGACCACTTTGTTGTTCAGATATATCACATATTTGTAACTGAATGATGCATTAATTGAAACAAAACACAGTATAAACTGAGGAGTGAGTCCCGTGAGTTTCATGTGTTTTCTTCACTCCGCTGGGAAACTCTGCTCTCATGTAAAGAAGCATCAGATCAGTGCATGCGCTGCATCGTCCAATCAGTGAGCGATACACAGTAAGGGGGCGGAGCGAGTACCTGAGGATTTCATCGGAGGATGGTCTGGTGGTTCCTCGGTTATCGCTCCTCCATTATCGCTCCTCGATCCTCGATCCTCGCTCCTCGCTCCTCGCTCCTCGATCCTCGATCCTCGCTCCTCGCTCATCGCTCCTCGCTCCTCGCTTCTCAGGCACAAATAAGAGCCATGGGACGCTACTCAAGATGGCGCAGACAAATCAACTTCCGGTGATACAGAGACCGAGGAGCGAGGAAATTAAAATAGTCCACCTGAGACGCAGCCTAAATAAAAAGGTGGAAAATGAAAACATAAATCCAAAACCATGACAGATATAGTCTTTTATATTTATCTTATACAAATATGACGTAAAAGAATAATATATATAGATATATATATATTGTAGTAATAATGATATAATCTATTTATAATTGTAAATGTATATTGTATGTACATTTAGGTGTACATTTCGGACGCAGAAAAACTGGTCCATGCCTTCATCACCTCCCGCATTGATTACTGCAATTCTCTGCTTGCAGGCCTTCCAGCAAAAACCACTCAGAGACTACAATATATACAAAACTGTGCCGCCCGGATACTCACAAAAACACGCAAATCAGAGCACATCACCCCCATCCTTCACTCACTCCACTGGCTCCCTGTAACACACCGGATCAACTACAAAGTCCTCATAATGGTCTTCAATGCCATCAACCACACTGGCCCCACCTACCTACAGGAACTGCTAACCAGAAAACATTCCCATACCTCACGCACACTCAGGTCAGACAGCTCCAATCTCCTGGCTGTCCCGCGGACAAAACTGGTCACCATGGGAGACCGTGCTTTCTCCTCCCTGGGTCCACGTCTGTGGAATCAGCTTCCAGAGAACATATGGACCTCAGCATCACTCTCAGTTTTTAGGAAATGCCTCAAGACCCACCTGTTCCACACTGCATTTTACTGACTGTCCTTTACTTATTTTATTTTTTTTAAACCTTCTATGCTCTTAACCTTTTATTTTTATTTTTATACTGCCATATTTTATCCAATATGCTCCTTTAGATAACTTTTTACTTATTGTTCCTTATAGCTTTGTGAAGCACCTTGAGATGACGTTGTTTTTAAAGTGTGCTATATAAATCAAATGTATTATTATTATTATTATTACATTTTGTTAAAATAAATAAATATAGGGGTGGGATTAAATAAGTGTAAACTTCTTCCCACCCCTTTTCGGATGTGTAATTAGGATGATCATTTATATATAATTTGTAAGTCAATCATATTTTCGTTTATCAATTTGATACTGCTTAAGTTTGTACAGTATCATAATTCTAATGTTTAATTTCATTATAATTGATTTGTATTATTGTTTTACACGTTTGAAATAAATCAAATCAAATCATGTTGATTTCATTATATCATATAAAAACTCTTATCTGTTTGATGAGGGAGATCTGCATTCATGATTACATGCTATTTTGATTATTGTTAACCAATTTACCGTTTAAGCAAAACGGTCATTTACATTCACTTTTCACATATGTGTTGTATTAGGTAGAATCTCTTTACATTGTAGATAGTTGGTCGGACAAAACAAGACATTTGAAGACGTCACCTTGGATTGAAGCAAACATTTTGATCTTTTAAAAACTAATTTCTAACATTTTATGGTCGGAACATTTTTGATTGAAAACAATCTGCAGAGTGTGAAGTTTGTGTGTTAATCAGTATCACAGACAGTGTGTGGTTTGGCAGACTCACATTCACCCAGCTCCACAAACAGGCCTGAACCAGCCGGAGAATGTGGACAATCATCTGCCTGACTCCAGGGCACGATGTTTATCATCCGAGGATTGAGAAGGCATGACCGTCATACTCTGCCTCTGATTGGAGAGGTGAGACAGATCGTCACTTCTTATTATACTTAGAGATCCTTGTGTATCCTTAGTTTATCTATCTCCTGATCGTCAGTGACTGCCACATCTACAGTACAGTATGTGTCTGCAACATATGTGGACTCTTTTCAAATACTTTTGTAGATTCAAAGGTTTTATTGTCATATACACAGCTACGCCGGAATGAGCTTCAATCTCAGGATCCATGGTTGCGGTCGAATAGTCCAAAAATCAGCTCCTAAGTTCTAACCCTATCGTCTATTCCTTGACCTCTGAGTGAAACGTCACGGGGTTAAGGGATAGTGGATAGGAGAATTCAAAAGGATTTAGGAGAAGAGACTGCGGTACTTTAGAGCATCCGACTGCACTTTCACTATCCGACGTGTTTATGATGCGCCAGCGGACGTCATGAATGTGCGCCTGCTGCTGTGGGGAAACTATGGAAACTACAGTTTTCTATACAGCGGACTACATGGATGTATAATAAGAACGAGGGACTACTGTAAACTCATCTAGAGACTCTGCACCGTGCTCTGATGCTGTTGTTTTATGCGTTATGAACGGGGACAACAGAGAAACATATTCTTCATGACCAAGGTTGGAATTGAAATAAAAAAGGAAAGTGAAACTTATGCTCGTCACCCTCTCCCTCCGGTCCACATGAATACAAATGATCCCAATACGTATGATTGTATGAAAAGATCTTCAAATCAATACAAATGTATTTATTATAAACGTTAGTCCTTAACATCTATCACTGTGTATATCACCATTCAAACATCTTTTAAAAGTTGAACAAACCCCACACAGCTCAGTAAAGACTGAAATGTTGACTTTATTTGATCATTTCAGTAAAAACTAACGTTCATATTTCTCTTTTTTATTATAATACTGATGAACGTTCAAAACAAAGCACTTTGGCAACTTACCACATACGTTTTAAAATGCTTAATAAGCACCGTAACTTTCATGATATCATTTCTCGGTCATAATCGGTTGTTTCCGTGAACGGCCGACTGTTGTGTGACGGCAAATGCCGCGGCCGCAAGGCATTGTGGGGCAGCATTTTCTCCTCTCCTTTCAGTTAGGGAGGTCCAGTGGTTCCTAAGCTAAAGGAGGTTATAAAGGAAGTTTGAAACCTCCTTTCCTTTTAATTTAGAGAATTCGAACGGCACTTATCATGGCTGCCACTGAGGGACTTCCGGGTCATTTCACTCCGTTAGGAAGGTTCCTAAGCTAAATGGACTATTCGACCGCAACCCATGTATTTATGATCCTCTCAAGAATGGAAGTAGTCATCACATACAGAGCATCAACTAGTTCCTGAACAGTGTCCTTAACTTGCTTATATACAAGAGAGGGAGTTTCACAGTGACAAGATGGAAAAATAGTTGAAAGCAGAATTCAATGCTTTGTTCAAAAGCTTTGTTGCTAAACATTGTGTTAAACATTGTCACATAGCTTACCATATCATATGCCAATAACAGCGTACCATGCCTATGTACAGTAGGAGGTCAAACATCCTGTCAGATACCCTGTCATATACTTGGACCTCTGCTATCACGCGCACTTCTGTATCCTTGAAAGAGCACAATCAGGTAAGGAAAAACAGCTCTGTTGAAGAGGAAGATGAAAAGAAATAGACCCAATATTGAACTAATGATGAACATACAAATAGAAATATCATATAGATTTTTGCAAAGGAGAAACTCGAACAAACAGGTTGTAAAATGTTACACTATAACATCTCCGGTACCTTTATATCTTTTTTTTTCAAAACTAATCCGACCAGTTTTTTTTTTACTTTCACTTTAACTGTCATTTGTTGTCGAAGCAAGACTTCAAGCAGGTAAGTCAACTAATATAAGGAAAATGAATATCAAGTACAATTAATACATCTGTATTGTGGGTCAATAGCGTTTATAATAGATACAAAATAGACCAATGTGGGAACAATGCAGGTTTACTGAGAAATGTACATTACAGTACATGTCACTTGTTAGATGCTTTTATCCAAAGCGACTTACATACTCTATACTGTGGACAATCCCCACAGGAGCAATTTGGGGTGAAGTGTCTCAGGGACACAACGACATGCTGACTGCAGTGGGGTTTGAACCTGTGCTCCCCTGATCCCAACACCAACGCACATCCCACTGCGCCACACGCCCCCCAGGTACCGAAGCAGGGTGTAATATGTGTGTTAGGTAAGTTATGACTAGCCACCCTTACAGGCTTTATGGTTTTGAATCAGAAATACCTTCTGTGTTTCAGTATGTTTAATCTCCTAACCTTCAGCCAAATTAATCAACACTCAAAAGCAATATAATTTACATTATATATCATTAATATGTGTAATATGTAAAGAAATGTATTGTATATTGTAAATGTTCTCAATTTAATTTCTGTTGTATATACACATCAGATTCAAAGGCTTTTTAAAAATATGCTGCAAACTCCCATGGCCCTCCAAAGAAACGTGGTATAAGGTAATAATAAGTGCAATGAAATATTTAAAGGAAAACAATGGTGAAAGTAAAATACAGGAATAAGTTAACTTTGTACATCTTTAAAGAAATAAGCTAAAACATTAGAAAACTTAAATACTGTATAGTAGAATAATATGTAGACAGTTATCTGATATGTATAAAGCCAAATGTAAGGGTCATGTTGGGGTTGCAGTTATTAGTATCAGGCCAAGTGCAGAGCTATAGTCAGTACTGAAATCAACCGAGTTTCGTGTGTAAGAAAATTTTAGTGTGCATAAGTCAGAAAATGTAACATTTTATTCTTCTTCCTTTAGCTTCTCGTCCTCAGGTGCAGAATCAGGTGAGTCCAGTCAGATATGTCTACTCTGGACAAAGTACTATTTTTTCTCTCTCTGTCCTTCAATTTAAATATAATGAAAACTCAGTCCTCAGACCCTGAATGAGATATAGTCACAATCACTGTTCAATTAACCTAACATCATATTTTGTCAATGATATTTTATTGTATAGTGTTGGGGAAATATCAAGGTCCATAACTTCTCTCAGAACTAGCTAAATACACGGGTCTGGGGTAAAGATCTTCAGAATTGATTTGGCATCTCAACCGTGTGGTCAACTCGTGGCCCGTGACATGTCTTGTGAATTCTCCGGCCGAAGCTCCAAATAAACCGTCAGTGTTTGCCATCAAAGCTCCAGCTCTCCTCGTGTCTCTCTGAGTCCTGACTCAAATTTCTTCAGAAGTTTCCCCCACAGATAGTATGCTTTAAAAATACTGTCATGTAACAACTGATTTTCAATATCGGTTAGTAGTAGTACTGATCCCGCTTCCATCACATTAGTATGCATAAAAAGTGACAGGTCATATCCCCCCACAACTTATGCAAATGACCTCCTTTGATATGCTAATGAGCCCCTTTGTTCGAGGTGTTATCACGTGTAGGTGTGATATCACATATAGGTGTGATATCCTTTGATGTGAGGGGGTGAGGTGTTGTAACATGTAGGTGTGATATCACACTGGCATGTTATAAGCCTTTGATGTCAATCTAATTAGCCCTTTGATGCATGTCCTTTGATGTAAGGGGGGTGAGATGTTATGACATGCCGGTGTGATATGACATGCCGGTGTGATATCACAGCGGCGTGTTATAAGCCTTTGATGTCAATCTAATTACCCTCTGAAGTCTGTCCTTTGATCAGTGTTTGTAACTAGTGTTAATTAAAGCAGTCTCTTTGAAGTTGTGTGAGACTGTCTCGCACCCAGTCCCCCTCTCACCTCTTCTGTCACCCCCCTTCCTTTTGCTGTGATGCCAGAAGATAGTGAGGGGTGGAGCTAGGTAAAAAAGAAATCCGTGCAAACTAGATAAAAAGCCAGTCATTTCCACTCACCAAG